ACTCTGGCCCCTCTTTATGTTATGTAACACACACACACACACACACACACACACACACACACACACAATCTGAGACAGAGAGGCTATAAAATTATAAAATGGGCTGGCACTGAGCCTCCGACCATCGCCTTGAGTACTGGCAGCTTTTTGTATATGCATGAACATGTGACTGTAACATTTCGCAATAAGAAGCTAAACATAAATATACCCTGTGTAACAGGCTTTTCTCAGAGGCAACGTCCCTCTGTATCTCTTTCTTTCCTTCCTTGGGGAAATATAACAATAAAACTGATCAAGTAAATGTGTTTAATAAAACTGCAACACAATAAAATCCTGTATAATGTCATTAGTATTTCATAATGTTAAGTCTGGAAATGACTAAAAGCAACTGATTGACATTAGAATAAAGGATGTGGCCACATATATCTTTCTCAGCAATATTTGTGCAGCATGATATAATGACGGGATAAAAACACATTAGAAGAGTTTTGGAAATCATTTTAAACTAATATAGCAAACATTTATGATCTGTTTTCATGATGACATAGGCAGCGGCTCCAAAAAACAGCAGACATTTTTACTTTCATGTCGCTTCAATATGTGTTGTTTAAAGGTCCAGTGTGTCCAGGATTTGGTATCACATATTTGTAACTATGTTAGCATTAGTTTATAATCACCTGAAAGTTAGAATTGTTGCATTCGTTACCTAAGAATGAGCCATTTATATCTACTTAAGTAGTAGTAGTCCTTTTCCAGGGATTCCACCATGTTGTTTCTACAGTAGCCCAGAACAGACAAATCAAAGACTGGCTCTAGATAGGGCCATTCCCATTTACACATTGATCACCATAGTTCTCCTACCTGCTTGGTACATGGCAGAAGTTTCAGTTCTGCAACTTCACCTCTAGACGCTACTTAATCCTACACACTAGACCTTTAAGGTTTTCAGCAGCGGCGCAGTTTGTTGTTTCAATGTTTGCTCAGTTTGTGAGGTGTTTTTACATTGTTCATCCAGAGGCTGTGTCCACCAGAGCCCAGTGTTTGTTTGTTTTTTAATCATTAGTCTTTACAATTGGAGCACTGCATATTTACGCTACCATTACAAACTTCAGCAGTGTGACTGGGCGCTGAGCGTCTATTCTGTGTTCAGCGTTGCACATTTGGTGTTTTTATGTTTCTTTGTCTATTTTCCAGAGCGCAGTTACTTACTGTCCCTTTCTACCCAGCCATTCAATCACAGTTGAGGAGGGACAAATACTACAAAGACCAAGTTTCATATTTTACATGTACAGGTACAGGTGCTGAACAACAACAACAGTGGGGGAGATATATGTTTATACACTGTATATACATTAATATATGTTTCCTCTCATGACCACACAGACTGGTGGGATCGTCCTCTACCTGCGCTGACATTTTTACTCCCACAGATTTTCTGTAGCATGGCCACAGACTGTATAAAATAATGGACATAGCAACCATAGCGTCACAAAGTGGTTTGTGGACTCCAGTTTTGAAGCCTTGACTTCAGTATTTCGGCACTTTCTAAGGAGCGCCTGGTGTTTCAGCTGTGGAAAAAACACTTTGATGGTCACAGGACCTGATAGATCTGATTAGATTTACGATCCACTTTTTATTACATTCTGCCAACAATTATTTTCTGTTTTTAGATAATCATTTGTTACAGATCATGTGAGGTTTGTATTGCAAATAAAAAACATCAAATCAAAGCTGAATGCGCTGACAGGACACCAAGACAATAAAACAAATGTTGAACACTATTTCCAGTCTTTCTGATGTTCTTTCCACAGCAGGTTTATAATTTGTGATTATTGCATTTTGGGAAATGAGCTCTGATTTGTATCAGTCAGTGTCCAGCCCACTCACAGAGGAGAATTACAGCTAAATAGTATCAGTAAATGGGACCTGGCACTACTTGAGTCACGGAGCAGCTGATCCAGAACAAAGTCGGCCTTGTCGTTAGGCACTAACTCTGTGTTGTCAGGTAAAGCAAAGCAGTTTGTTTCCCAGACAGAGTTAAGTCAGGGCATGCCCCCACCACACACACACACACACACACACACACACACACACACTGCCTCCAAGAACAGAAACATGCCACTAACCAAATGTCACATGACAGCCTTCAAAATAAAGCTCTTGTATAACCATGAAGGCCTGGAAGCAGAGTCTGTTTACAATGATCCAGTCTGAAGTTGGATGACTTTCTGTGGGCGTCTGTGTGTGTGTGTGTTTTGTGTGCGAGTACGTGTGTCTTTCCATGCCCCCAAACATCGCATACATCTTATCCCCTCTCTTCTGATGTGCATCAGCTGAGCACAGCGTGGTTGTTGCACTTGGTTATCACAAAGCGCGCAGTACAATTTCAAAACATCAGCTCAGCCACAACATGAAAGAACATGGTGCCCAAAAATCAACAAAGAGCATGTGTTGTCCTTAAAAACTATCTGAGGTCTGTTTTATGTGTGTTTCTCTGCTACTGAGCATCCTGACTGTCTGTGTTGGGTAAAATTCATGAAATCGTGTTGGTGAGCAGACAGAAATATGCACATATGATACAGACAAACTTTATTTACAGGTGTATCTAAAAACAAAAAAAAACATGTTCTCCTTTAGAGCTGGTGCTCAGAAGGAGTTATATTTAAACACACACACATTCCCAGTCCGACCACTGAGCACCGAGCCTCAAAATCAACAACACACAGCATGTATTATACACAATATTCTTTATTTCTCAGGGTATAAAACTTCCGTACAAACACTTCTTTCTCCGACTGACGTCCTCAGTTAAACAGAGAGTTCAGTGTGAGCGGGACGTGGCAGCTGTTACAATGTTTTTACATGCAGAAAAAATGATGTTTCACACAGGCTGAGTGGGGCGGTTTCCTCTGAGAAGCTCTCAGCTGGTGCCCCATGTGAGTGAGCTCAGGTGTGCTTCAGGGGGTATCAACCTCAATAAAACAATGAAATCTCAAGAATGAGCCGCTCTGTCTGCTTCCCCAGACGGTCTGCTTTTGTTTAAACTCCCTGGGCTTTATGGGATATTCTTGTGCAATCAATAATTAGGAATGTGTGGGAATTAAATCTACAAACACTGATTTGTTTACAGTAATCCGAGAGTCTTTCACACGCAGAAACCGTTTCATTTTGTATCATAAATTCCAACACCACATTAATCACAATAACTGAGGTCAGCCATTGCAGTCATATTGTCCGGTCCACATCCAGACTTTGCACCTGTCCCAAACACAGGACATTAACATTTCTGTCTAACCTTCAACAAAACACAGACTTTCCAGCACAATCCTCAGTCTGCCTAGTGAACAGTCAAGTTCATGTCTCTTCTCTGACCATCTTTAAACACAATAGTTCACTTTCAGAGACCCATCTGTTCAACATTACAAAGCCGTCCATCTGTCATACAGGACTCACACTGCTGTGGATCAACCAGCCTACTCTGGCTCCTGCAAAGCAGTTAAGACGTTAAAGTGAGACAATGTAACATGTATAAAAATAAATAAGATTATTACACATGAAAAGTTGAATTTGTAAGTGGAGACATGCACAGTTTTTTAATTCAATATACTCAGGAGTTTCACTGCTACAGCCTTACTTGCTAAATTAGAAGTTCAGTTAGAAAGTTATGGCTCTTCTCTACTTGTTTTACTGTTAAACTATGTTCACTTGTGACAGAGAGGACAGCATGGACTCGCTTTAAAGAAATACTTCACCCTCAAAATGACCATTTGTATATCAAGCTGTTCTCATGCAGTGTTCATACGGTTTCTGACGTAAAGTAATGCAACAATAGTCATACGTATCCCAAGTAATCAAGAGCCAGTAATTTGAGTGTAACCTGCATATTTTGGAAAGCTGTGATCATGTGACCAATGTGCTGATGGAAGTAAACAAGAAAGTGCTCCTGTAAGGAGACAGGTCGGCTCACAAAACACAGGACTTTCCCCAGGAGACCAGTGTGAACTTTGAGACATTTTAAGGTCTGTCCTCACCCTGTTTCTTTTCTCTTAACCTAACCACAGTAACTTTACTTGCCTAAACCTAACCTCTGTAACTTCACGTTATCATATAAATAGTTATGTGAGCTTTTTCATAGAATATTATACGAACCGTTGCATTAGGGAAACGTTCTTGACATACATAATGATTTACTGTGATTTTATTGAGAGCGAACAACGCATTCCACCCATGGCTCAACAGAATCTTCTGTTGAGCGAACCTGAAGAAGCCATGGGTGAAATACGTTGTTTGCTCTCAATAAAATAACAGTAATTCAGTTCAGTGTGCGGTGGTTTATGTTGATTATTTTATCTGAGACGTTCCTGTGTACCAGCACCTGATCCTTCGGACTGGCTGTACAGAGGGAGTTCTGTTTACTTATACATATTCATTTATTGATTGACATGGGACCACCTTTCACAACAGGAAAACTACATGTTTTTACAAACTCTCACACAACTCGTCTCATTTATCCAGCTGGATGCTCAGTACTTCCCAAACAACATTTTCGCTAAAACCTTAAAATGTAAAACTGAACTGAAAGAGAAACATATCTGCTCTCTTCAAAGCCAGACTCAAAAACTATGTTTGGGTTTGGGTTTTTTTTTAGCAAAAATGAATGTGTTTGGGAACTCCTGAGTATCTGACTGGATAAATGAGTCTTGGATTATAATGCATGAGTTGTATGAGAGTTTGTAAACAGATGTTTTGATATAGTTTTGCTCTTGCTAAACATGGCCCCCAATGAATCAATATGTTTGCTCTCTGGGAAGGCATGCCAGAAAATTAAAGGTAACACAGCATGACTAACTGATATACAAATGGTCATTTTGTGGGTGAAGTATCCTTTAAAGGAACATAGCATTAGCTTAATCCAGCAGGAGTTACAGGCTGGATGAAGAGAGGTTAGCAAAAACAAAGACCGAGTCATCCTCAAATTGTTGCCAGAAACATGCAAGATATTGTTGTCACCATTTATACTGTTTTAATACATTTAAACAGAAATAATCTAACACAGTGACTTTCAGTATAAAGCAGGCCAAATCACGTGCTGCACGCAAACAAACACTGTGACGACAAACTTACTGTGCTCTCTTTAAGTTATACATGTATGCAGGTAGAACTGATGAGACCTGACAGAGGAAACGCCAGCTATCATAAGGGTCTGTGTGACCTTTACCCTACTTAAATCCACCATCAGCTAAGACTGCACACAAACAGCAAGACAAGCAACTTATTATGCCTTTTCCCCCCAAGCAAGAAACAATGCATTTGCTATCATGAGTAAAACGTCGACACAGTGAACCCATTCAGTCGGAGTCGTAACATCTTCAGCAGAGAACTGCCAAACAGCTCCAGTCTTAAAATCTGGAGTCTCAGTTTTATACACAGGCCTAACATCGACATTTCAACTTGAGATACATTTTAGATTCAGCTCTCTCTTTAGGAACACTGTGTGCGTGTATTAGTTTACAACTTGAAGCCAGATAGTAGAAAACACAGCAGATCAGTTTGGGTTACACACAAGGATATTTTTGCAGGAAAGTCTGTAAGGGACCAAATTTTAGTGCAAAGATCAAGCTGTAGTGTTTTGGGAAACTTAGACGCACAAAACAGAAAAGTTTAGAGGAGCTGTTAACTAACTGGGTGAATATATTCCACTGAGTCGCACAAATCCTCCTCTATGATTGTGCATGTTGTGGCTGTCTTGTCTCAGTTTGCATCAACTAGACGGTTAACATTTTGTTTACCTTTTAACTACAGCATTTTCTTCACAGCACATTTACATTTAACAGGAATTAATGTTGATTGAATTTCGAGGCACACCACAGCTCACTCCATTCACACCAGCAGAAAAGTGACTTTCTACAAGGCTTTCACCTTAAACTTAATACAGGGTTCAGACACCTTTTAGCCCAGAGTTTACAGCTTTCTTAGCGCTGAGCTAACAGCGATCAGACATCCCCAACTCTTAGCCCAGGAAGTACTAAAACCCCTCCAGAGCAGGGTTGTTTTTGTTTGTTTGACTTTGTCAGGAATATAATTAGAAACATGGGTTATTATAACTGGTGGGAATTACTTAGCACAAAAGCAGCAGAATATTAGTTGTCACATGAAACATTGTTGTGAGATGGAAACAGTTGTGAAGGTGTTAACCCTGAACCTTTAACCATGTCCTTTAACCTCTGAGTTACTAGTCAGACAAAGGTTTAACTTGTCCCGGGATGTATTCCAGACAGGTGCTTAGGTCATAGTTAGACTGAAGAGCATGAGTGAAAATTATTTTTGTCTTTATGTCTGATCAATATGAATCAAGCTGCACACTAAATGATGGCAGATCTGCTTTGAATCTATTACAGACTGCAACCTAGTTGCACCCTTTTTCCTCCCTGCTGCAGTGACTCTAATACAAAGAGCCATTCAGATGAAGGCACTGTAGAGAAATGGTTGTAAATTACTGGATTTTGTTCTGGTTTTAGTAGCTACAATGTACAAAGGAAGGTGTGGCAGCTGAATGTTTGACGTCCATACATTTTCTTTTTATTTCTGCTTTAAAACACATGAAACTTAATCTATTGAAGATAAAACAGGCTACAGAACTATCAGAGCACACAGACACTAAACGTCTCTGTTGTATTAAAGCATTATGAATGCAGAATGGTATAAATTACCACTGGTTACTTCTGTAATAAAGCATATTTTGGGTAAAGGGAACAAATGCAGAGCGTCAAACATGACGAATCAAACTCATAACTATTAAGAAAAGACTTCACATAATTCAAACTTCACAGTCTTGGATACACAATTGTATTGAAAAACTAAGAAATAAAACCCATCTTTGTTTATTCCCCAGTTTGTTCCGAGTTATTTTATCGCGGCAAACCAGCAGAAACAAACAGCCGAGCTCATTTTGTTAATTCAAACACATGCAAAGAGAATTGGTTGATCTAATTCTGTTAAGTGCTCAAACTTACAGTAAGGCGGTTTAAGTGTGCAGAAAGATAAATCAAATACACACCAAGCAGTACAAATATCTGAAACCAGTTTAGTATTAGTCTGCCTTTCAACTTTTGCCCTGCGGACGCTAGTTACTGGTTGACAGGATGAACATTTCAGATCCTGGTAGTTTTGTTTTAGACTGGATTCCTTCTTTGCATGTGAAAAAGGCCTTCTCTACAGAAGTCACTTGGCTACAGCACTAAGCAAAGTTGTGGCTTGTGGGACAATGTGATAATAAAGAGAGGACAAACATGAAAATTGCAAAATATTCTACTGCCTGATAAGGTCAAGTGCAAGCCAGACTGCAGAGTCCTATAGTGCTAATGTCGGATAGATGACGATGATGAATGATCACTTTTTACCCTCATTGTGGACAAAGACATTGGCATTCTTAGTTCTGTTGCAAATAAGACAGAGTATGAGACGTGCCTCTCAGCCACAAAAAACGTATTCGCTGTCTGGCTTCCTTCTGGGCCTGACAGTAGCGCGATGTGAAGAAAAACCACACTAAGAGCCAAGCCAGACTTATTTACATAAATAGCTCAGATCGAAACTAAAATAGAGGACCACGTAAGTAAACTATGATCATTGTTTCAGATTAGATTTTGTAAGATGTGACCAGGATAAAATTATTGACTGTTTAATAAAATCATTCATTAGAGCAACAGTGATCCCAGTTATAAAAAGAAGCTCTAAAATGAACCATGGGCTTGATGAGTTGACAAAGTTCTGACTATGATAATGTCAGGTGATCATGTCTAGGTCAGAAAATCCAGTATGTCTTCATCTTGTCATAAGTTAATAAGGACAAAGTTTAATTTCAGAGAAGCACTATTTTAGTCAGCAGTTCCTTCTGATCATTAATGTTGGAAACAGGTTAGACAAATGATGTTTAGTTGCAGTTCCAGTAAGTCAAGCTCCTCTCCAGGTAACACAACATGCTCACATATATCCATACTAGGTTGGGACACCAGAACACTAGACTAAAATTATTCCATTTTATGTGTTTGACACAGAGGAGACTGTTTCTTGTTCAAATCTGGGCCGCTCTAATCATAAGCAACATTGTCGCATCCACCATGACATAGTCCCAGTCCATACCAGTTAAACACCAGCAGAGGCAGACGCACCTTCTCCTGCAGAGGGCTCGTATTGGAGGCAGGCTAAGATTCAAACCAGGTCAGAAAAAGGACACGGCAGTACTGCTGTATTTTCCCAGCAGGTTGTGATAGAGCTCAGTAGTAAATCTCATCCATGATAAGACTTAAAACCCCTCTTTGAATAAAAAACAAAAACATTTCAGACCTGTGACAGTCTTACTTTGGTTCCCAGCCACAGTCCAGTCGAGGTCCTGCTCAACATCACGCTCCATTAGAGAGAAACCCAAACTTGGAGCAAGTCCAGAAAGAACCCAAACCCAGCTGAATCCAGACCAGGGTAAAGTTAACATCGGAGTCTAAGACACAAACCCATCGCAGGTCTGCTCTAGGCCACGCAGCAGTACCTTTTCCACCATGACTTAGACAGACTCTTCATCTTGTCCGGTGTCTGCCTTTGCTTTTTGCGTCGTTTCTGTTTCCCTCTCGAGTGCTTATGGGAGCTGTAATTCTGCAGGCTGGCCAATATGGCCGTGTCAAACACTTCCTTTAAATTTTTTTGGGTCAGGGAAGAGCACTCCATGTAGGCCACAGCGCCGATCTCCATCGCACAGTCCCGGGCATCTGCTGGGTCCACAGGTCGCTCCCGGTACTTAGCCAGGTCAATGAGAACCTAAAGAGAGGAGGAAGCATGATGTTAACACAGGCCTACTTTTGTTGTTCTTGTATTAGCTGAAGTCAGTGAGACTGCTCCTTTAAAGTGATACATTTGTAAATCTGTCATTTAGATCATGAAGATGTGTAGCCTCTTTTTAATACTTGTGGTTTTGTTTCACTTTTGTCAGAATTAGGGGATTATTTTGTCTGGATTAAGGCAAGAACTTGTACTCCGAAGTCATTTCACCTTGACATCTTCTCGGAGGTCACACTGTGTCCCAACTAGGACCAGAGGCGCGAAGGGTGCATGTCTGCGGATCTCTGGAACCCACTTTTCAGGAACGTTCTGGAAGGAAGCAGGACTGACGACGCTGAAGCACAGCAGGAACACATCTGCACTGGTGTAACACAGAGGCCGCAGCTTGTCAAACTCATCCTAGAGGGGTCGGGAGAGATCAAGAGAGAGATAATGTTGAGGATGAGGAGAGTTCACAGGGCAGCACCATGATGGTTTTCCGAGCATTTTGACAAAAGACAGAAGTATTACTGGCACAACATCCTGCCAATCCTGTCTATCCTGTCACAGTTACTGGTACCGCTGAGCGGCGTCTGTTTTTAATGACAGATGACAAACTATGAGGATATGTCTAGTTTCTCCCCCTTCATCTCTGACTCTCCTTCCTTCCTGTGCCTGTGATCCTCCCATTTACTCTGCCATCATATCTGAAAACACGCTGATACAGCAAAAATGCTTTTAAGTGTTTATATAATGTGTGCTGATTCTTTATCTTTTTTGATTATTTCACTTGTTGAGACAGATTCTATAACTTGTTTTAAGGAAAACATTAGCTCTAACCAGTTGAAGCTCATTCTAAGAAGATTTTTATAATTATTTATTCCTTAATTAAAGATAAGATTTACTGCCGCTGAGATATAAAATGCATCACTTCCTGTGTGCCAGAGGCCTTTTCCTTGAAAAAACCAACCAGACAGTTTCCTGGACAGACTGAGCCCATCTAGACAAACACTAACTGAGATGTCCACTGTAAAACATGTTTAGTTTAGGACCAGTCGTTTTGTTAAACTCTTCATTTGTCAAATTATTATCCCTTATGGTAGCTACTTCTCAGAAAACAGACATATCAGATTATCATAATAGCTACTCTCTATCCCTCCCACTCCACTCTGCAATCCCAACATCTAAAGGAAAAAAGAAATAGTAATAGTAGTTATAATAATTTGACTATAATGCTAGGGGGAAAAATCAGCAAATATCTTACAAGCATACAGTTTTTTCTTTTTATCCTTCTGTCTTTGTCCATCTTTCCCCCTTCCTTTTCATTTTTATATAATATCTGCTCTCTATATTCTCTTCTATCTCACATAAAACAGTTAAACATAAATCCTGTGCTATAATATCTCCATTTTAAAGATGTATCTAAATGTGTCCTTCCATTTGTTTACTTACAGTGCCTCTTGTTTCATCCAATTTTTTGTTTTCTGTTTAAGTGCCGCTGCTCTTTAAATTCTAAAACGATACTCATCAGTTTGTTGAGAGAGCTGCTGTGGTGTTCTGCCAAGTAATACGTGCTCTGGCCCCAAAATGAACGAAGGACTAGTCTTAATCTATCTGCCAATTATCTTCAAGCACGCCATGGTGGTCAAACTCTTCTGTTATTTTGAAGTAGATGTGGACAGAGCCAGGGTTCCCACACATTTTCATGGACAGAATTTACAAACTTTTTCATGACTTTTTAAGCACTCATAATGTTTTTGTCTTCAGATCCAAACTCTATTCAAACATAATTTTAGCAAGCTGGCATATATGAAGATGGGATGTGGGAGAAAATGAAGACATACTGTAGGTGATGTTAAACTAAACACACTGATGCATATTAATTTAGAGCTACATTAAGTCGACAGCTGCAGAAAATTGTAACAATTTCATTGTAGTCAAAAAAATTCTAAGATTTTTGCACACCTGGAAAATGTGATTGTGAAATTCCATAACTTTTCCAGGTTTTCCATGACCGTGGGAACCATGTAGAGCTGCAAAACTTCAATGTATTAAATGACAACTCCAACTGTAGTGATATTTTTATGACCAAACACTTGATGTTGTTAAGTTTTGGAAAAGACTATTTTAGTTTCCAATTTTAAAAAAACTTTTGTGGGGTAGACTAATGATGGTGGCGGTGGTGGGGGGGTGGGTACTATGTGATTCAGCTGCGGTTTAATCCAGCCAGGGAACTTTGTGACATGTCTCCCCATGTTTCCTGTGCAGCTCTACACTGTCAATTATCAAATAAAGGCAAAAATGCAATAACAACAAAAACACAAACAAGAATGTGTGTTTTAGTGCAACACTCAGACAAGAAGGAAAGAAAGAAAGAACTGCTCTCTCTTCATCACGTCCTCTGGTCAGACGCATTGTTTCAAACACAAATAAAACAACAACAGGAAATGCTGCTGCTCTCTCCCCCTTGTGAGTGAATGATGTGTATGTGTGGGTGTGAGTGTGTTTGAGATGAGATCACTGACCTGTCCTGCTGTGTCACAGAGTTGTAGTTTGACTGGCTGCCCGTCCACTGATACCACCGCTACACACACACACACACACACACAGACACACACATGCACACACACACACACACACACACACCATGAGACACAGTGTAGCTATTCACTGGGAAAACACATGTGGCCAACAATACAGCTGGTAACTATTTAACTACTTTTAAGTTAATACAGTAAAGGAATGATTAATCAATGAAGAGTCAGACCAATCCTCAGAATATTCATCTATTGTATATGATTACTGAGCATTTGTTTAAGTTATTAAAAGAGTCAAAAATCCAAACCAGTCCTGGTCACAACTTCAAAGTGGTTGCATGATGAACTATAAAGCTCACATGAAATAAAATGTAAATTAAATTGGACATTTTACTGACTGAAAGACTAATCAATCAAACTTATCGATAGCTGGTATATAAATAAATAAAATTTCTTCAGCAGCTGTAAAATACCACATGGCCACCCACAGGCTACATTTTATAATGAAGCTTTGCTTTAGGATCATATTTCCATCCATATGGTAATAAATGTGTTTATAAACACATAGGGGAGACTGGGATTGGTTGGCATATAGCTACTTCCTGGTCACACAAACATAAATGTAGATCTACTATGTTAAAACCAAGTGGCAACATCTGGGGCTGAGAAATGAAGCCAACATGGAAGTGCCAAAAACTGCAGTTCTTTACATGGCTACTTGAGGCTGGCTCCAAAAGTGAGTCAATCTCCACAGACCCCATGTTAAAATGCCCATCTTTACAGCAGGCATAAACATGTTTTTACAGCCTGGCACAAAAACAAATTTTGGTCTCTATTGTTATTTCCCCCCTTCAGGACAACTCAACAATTTACATTTTACCAAGGCTTAAAGTTACACTTGATTCAGAGTGCCAGCCTCTTGCCCAAACATGGTCACTTATGGCTCTAAAAAACAAAGATGGTGATGGTCATAGTGCCAGAATCAAGGCTTTAATACAGGAGTCCATAAACCAATGGCTGACATCACAGTAGATATGTCCATTATTTTTACAGTCTATGTGTTAGCCATATTGTAAATATGTAGCTTCTCTTTAATAGACAAAGGGATGGTTGCTGGCTAATGTAACTGCTTCTCAAAGTTGGGTCTAATGGGAGCACCCACCAGCTCAGTGGGTAGAGTAGGTGCCCCATATACAAAGGCAATGTCCTTGCCACAGCAGCCACAGGCTCAACTCCAGCCCAGAGCCCCTTGCTGCATGCTGTCCGCTCTCTATCCTCTATCTGTCCGGTCATCAAAGGCCAAAAAGCCAAAAAAAGTAACCCTAAAAAAAAGTGAGCAGGGTTGGCTGGCACACTGATTTAAGGGTTGGTTGGCACATGTGTCAACCGATTGTAAAATTAACTGTTGTAACTATAGCTGTATTCTAAAAGGTTAAAAACAGTTATTGTATTGTTTGTTTGTTTGCTATTATAATTTTTGAATGGGAAATGGCAAAGGTAATTTGACATTCCAGTGATCATATTTTCTGGTCTTGCCAACTAACCCCAAAACATGTGTGAACAAACCCCATGATGGAGTCTTTAACCACAAATCTCCAAATTTCAGAAAACATTTGTGTACCCAAAAACATATCTATTTATTTCTGAGACCTTAACCTTTCATTTGCTGCTGGTTAGACTACTTTAACATAAATAATGCCAGAGAAATCCTGTGTAAGAGAGTGTAAAGTGTGCCAACCGACCCCGGTCTCCCCTGTGCATTGAGTTGTAACTGATACTCCATCTTTACCTGAGAAGTTGTCAAACGCCGTGGGCACGTACTCGGTGGGGTACCCGTTGGTGGTGTAGCTGACCACCAGGCTGGTTTTCCCCACAGCTCCGTCCCCCACCAGCACACACTTCACCCGCCTCTCCGCTGCTCCGGCTCCCGCTGCCCCTGCCCCTGCCCCTGCACCGGACCGCCGCGTCCTGCCGGAGCCCCTGACCCTCCTCGGTGGGACAGGCGGAGCAGGGGACACCGGTGCCGGCTTGTAGCCCCCGTCGCCCCGCGGAGGCATCTGGCAGGGAGAGGAGGGTGACATGTAGGCTGAGGAGACCCGGACAGGAGCGTCAGTCCCGGTTCGGGCCAGTTTTCACATCGTCCATTCTTCCGTTGTTATCTGCCGGGACACTGAGCCGTTTGTCAACTGACTTTTGTGTTGTCGCTGCTGTCCGCTTCCTCCTCGTCTCCATGGTTCAGTTAGAGAAAGTTTTAGCTGCTGTTCACCGCACACAGACCCCAAACTGACTCTGTGTCCATGTTCAGAGTCATGGTGGATTTAAATCTGAATTAAAGTCCGGTTAAAGGAGCTGAGATTGAATTAACGGCCCCGTTTGTTACAGTCTGTGTGCGTCCAGCCGTCCAATGGACACACCAGAGCAGACCCGTCCCAAACTCCCCTTCATATGACATCACAGTGTGTGTGTGTGTGTGTGTGTGTGTGTGTGTGAGAGAGAGAGAGAGAGAGAGAGAGAGATTGAGCCCATAATAATAATAATAATAATAATAATAATAATAATAATGTTTCATCTAAATGAGCAAAATTGAAATCAAACAATTAAAATAAATAAAAATTAGACTTACTCAGATTAAATTAATTTAAGAGAAATTAAGAGAGAGAGAGAGAGAGAGAGAGAGAGAGAGATCGAGCCCATACTAATAATATTGATGATAACAATAATAATAATAATAATGTTTCATCTAAATCAGCAAAATTGAAATTAAGAAATAAGAATAAATTAAATTAGATTAAATTAAATTAAACCTTTGTTTCATCTCAATTAGCAAAATTCTTAAAAAATTAAATAAAATAAATAAATAAAAATCCCTACTCTTATTTTCTGTTCAGGTTTACCATCAGAATCAGAATCAGAATCAGAAATACTTTATTGATCCCCGAGGGGAAATTATTTGTGTTACAGGTGCTCCTTGCAAGAGTGGAAAGATACGTGAAAATATAAGAAATTTACGAGTATTTACAAATATATAGTTAAAATAAACAGGAATTATTAACAAAAATATAAAGTAAATATATATATATATATATATATATATATATAGTAACCTGAACAAGATTACCAGCCTAGTGTTATCCTCATTATTCATAATTTTCCCATAAAGTTTGTCAAGTTTTACCTTTAATCTTTTGCACAAGGCGTTTGCAATTTTGTTTGTCATTGCATTTCTTACCTCTTTTTGTTTTATCCTTCCATTACAGTCTGTTATTTCTACCTACAGTGTTGACATACTTGACCCACCAACTCAGATATAATATGACTTATTTGATATTCGTTTCATTAACTTACAAGCCCCATAATATTGCAGCAAGTCGAGGTGGAACTAATTTTATCTACTTTATATCATGCTGTTGGGTAGATTAATAACAATGCATCATATTTCATAAACTATCAAAATATTTTGAATGGAAAATTTTCATCAGCAATATAACAACAAAATACAGCCAGCGGTTATGTAAAGGAGTAGAAAGAAAATACCCCCAAAAATCCCTCTGAAGAGCAGCATAAACTATAATAAAATGGAACTATTCAGTGAAAACCAAGGTTTGATTTGACTGGTCGTCTTGTGAGACTTTTAGGACATTTGTGCCACCCAGTGGACAGACTGGAAAACAACTTGACACTTGAAAATAAAACCTTATTAAATGTTGTTTAAAATAAAACATAATAAACTTTCAGAGTGCTATGTAAGCTGTTGAGCAGCCTAACATATTTCCACATACATTATATAAATCTAGATGAGTCCTTACAGTATGTTATTTCTGTACAGTGTGAGCTTTAGTTAATGCGGAACCAAACACCGGCTAGTCCGCGTTTCCTCACGGACGCTTTTCTGAACTGCACCCACGTGTTATGTTGTGTTGTTAGAGGTTGGAAATTTAATACTTCTACCTTCTTCTGGACAGTTGTTGAATTTTTAGTCTACTTGACACACCGACACCCTCCTCCCTAACATGTCCGGGGACAGCAGCGTGTCCTCGGCGGAGGTGGTTCTGGGTTTCCTGGAGGAGGCGGAGTCGTGGCGGCTGCTGTCCCCACAGTTCCCCAGTAAGGTCGGGGGGAAACCGGCGTGGCTCAGCCAGAGAGGCCTGCCCTCACTGCTCGGGCTGGAGTGTGAGATATGCCGTCTGCCTATGGCCTTCCTGCTGCAGGTAAGAAGAGTCCCGGGGAGGAGAGGGAGGGACCCTGGACACGCCAAGGGGATCCTCCACTATAAATAATAACTCACTGTGATCATGGGGAGCTCAGGTTTTAAGGGGAGACACTGCAGGTAGAAACTCAGCTGATTCATGAACTGGTCAACTTTGAGATTTGAGGCTATTTTGCTTCCATAACATGTCGTCTTTAGGACTAGTAAAGAGAAAACGTCCAAAATACTCTTATAGGCGTTGATTGTAATTCAGATTTCTGCTCTGGAAAACTAGAGAAGTTTGATGGTGGTATCTATTAGTTAAAAATAAATATAGTCCCTATTCACCATTGTCCAAAAATGTATGGGATTTTACAATACCTACTTTTTAAATGCCATTTTCTCAGAATGATTTTTTTTTTTGATACTTTGAGCCATAAAGCTCCACTTCAGAAGCACTTACAGTACAGGCCAAAAGTTTGGACACACCTTCTCATTCAATGCGTTTTCTTTATTTTCATGACTATTTACATTGTAGATTCTCACTGAAGGCATCAAAACTATGAATGAACACATGTGGAGTTATGTACTTAACAAAAAAAGGTGAAATAACTGAAAACATGTTTTATATTCTAGTTTCTTCAAAATAGCCACCCTTTGCTCTGATTACTGCTTTGCACACTCTTGGCATTCTCTCGATGAGCTTCAAGAGGTAGTCACCTGAAATGGTTTCCACTTCACAGGTGTGCCTTATCAGGGTTAATTAGTGGAATTTCTTGATTTATCAATGGGGTTGGGACCATCAGTTGTGTTGTGCAGAAGTCAGGTTAATACACAGCCGACAGCCCTATTGGACAACTGTTAAAATTCATATTATGGCAAGAACCAATCAGCTAACTAAAGAAAAACCAGTGGCCATCATTACTTTAAGAAATGAAGGTCAGTCAGTCCGGAAAATTGCAAAAACTTTAAATGTGTCCCCAAGTGGAGTCGCAAAAACCATCAAGCGCTACAACGAAACTGGCACACATGAGGACCGACCCAGGAAAGGAAGACCAAGAGTCACCTCTGCTTCTGAGGATAAGTTCATCCGAGTCACCAGCCTCAGAAATCGCAAGTTAACAGCAGCTCAGATCAGAGACCAGAGGAATGCCACACAGAGTTCTAGCAGCAGACCCATCTCTAGAGCAACTGTTAAGAGGAGACTGCGTGAATCAGGCCTTCATGGTCAAATAGCTGCTAGGAAACCACTGCTAAGGAGAGGCAACAAGCAGAAGAGATTTGTTTGGGCCAAGAAACACAAGGAATGGACATTAGACCAGTGGAAATCTGTGCTTTGGTCTGATGAGTCCAAATTTGAGATCTTTGGTTCCAACCGCCGTGTCTTTGTGAGACGCAGAAAAGGTGAACGGATGGATTCCACATGCCTGGTTCCCACTGTGAAGCATGGAGGAGGAGGTGTGATGGTGTGGGGGTGTTTTGCTGGTGACACTGTTGGGGATTTATTCAAAATTGAAGGCACACTGAACCAGCATGGCTACCACAGCATCCTGCAGCGACATGCCATCCCATCCGGTTTGCGTTTAGTTGGACGATCATTTATTTTTCAACAGGACAATGACCCCAAACACACCTCCAGGCTGTGTAAGGGCTATTTGACCAAGAAGGAGAGTGATGGAGTGCTGCGGCAGATCACCTGGCCTCCACAGTCACCGGACCTGAACCCAATCGAGATGGTTTGGGGTGAGCTGGACCGCAGAGTGAAGGCAAAGGGGCCAACAAGTGCTAAACACCTCTGGGAACTCCTTCAAGACTGTTGGAAAACCATTTCAGGTGACTACCTCTTGAAGCTCATGGAGAGAATGCCAAGAGTGTGCAAAGCAGTAATCAGAGCAAAGGGTGGCTATTTTGAAGAAACTAGAATATAAAACATGTTTTCAGTTATTTCACCTTTTTTTGTTAAGTACATAACTCCACATGTGTTCATTCATAGTTTTGATGCCTTCAGTGAGAATCTACAATGTAAATAGTCATGAAAATAAAGAAAACGCATTGAATGAGAAGGTGTGTCCAAACTTCTGGCCTGTACTGTATATCCACCAAACTTTAATGTTTTATTCCTATCTACAGTATATTCTTAGAGTTACAGAGGGGTTTGTTCTTATATCATTCATCGCCTGTTTTATATGGCAATTTATTCCTAAAAACATGGTGAAAATGGATTTTTTTTTATGGCTCTTGACAGTATTTCCTGATCAGTGGAGTGATAAAAAGATATCCAAAATGCCTTCTATAAAAACCTTAAACTCTTAAGTGTCAACAAAATGAAACTAGAATTCTGAACCCACTGAATTGAATTGAACTTCTTGAAAGGAAAGCCCCTTGAGATGCAGCATCCCATTGTCAAGGGCATCCTCAAGACACAATACACCACAGGCCCTGCCCTCAACTGTTGTACAAGAAAATTATAATTGGATACCATGACCTTGAATAGTTACATAACAGTTTTCAATATGACAATTTAAAAACAGGAGCGAGTTGTTTTGAGATGTGAATGTAAAGAAGTCCTGAAGCAGTGGAAAGAGGTAACAGATCTCAAGAAAAGAGGAAGACTATTCCAGTCAGATGGAACTTTTATATGAGCCAAGTAATAAACTCATCTCAGCCCTATTCATTTTACTACTAGATAAACCTTCTCTGTCTTCCTTGCAGGTGTACGCACCCATTTCTGGTCAGGACAGAAGTTTCCACAGGACGCTCTTTCTGTTCTGCTGCAGAACTCACGAGTGTTACGCAGCCAACGACAGTCGCTGTATGAAAGGTAACTGTAAATGTTATTGTTGCTTCAATGCTCTTGTCATGTTTGTTGTCACATGATAGCAGGACTGACTCTATCTTCTCTTCTCCATGTCCTCTTCTCTCCACATTTTTGAACACTTGTCATCTGGTGAGTACATATAATTTCGTCAAGTTTTCTGACTGATGGTGTCTCCATCTCTTCTTCTTTTCAGTTTTCAGAAGCCAGCTACAGAGAAGGAATGAGTTCTACCCCTACGACCCTCCACCAGGTTGGTGTTCTTTGCCAGATGCTTACATATATGTTCAAAGAGCTGTAATATAAACATTGATAATGCAGTAGTATTATATATTTGTATTCATCAGTTATTTGCAGTATTTCAGCAGTGACTTGACTTTGATTTGATGTATTTTTTGTTTTGTTTTGTTTTTTTTCATTCTCAGAGGATGAACCCCCCAGTGGTCCTGAACCGGACCAGAGTGTGTTGTCCGTATCTGGAGTTAAACTATGCTGGGTGTGTGGTTGCCCCGGCAACAAAGCCTGCTCCCGCTGTCACAGTGTAACCTACTGTGGAAAACACCACCAGACCCTCCACTGGAAACACACACACAAGAGGGAGTGTGGCAGCCAAGGTGTGTGTTATGCACTGGATTAAAAAAAGGAAACACAGTGAACAGTCACATGCTTCAGGTTTTGTTTTCAGCTCGATTTGTTTGACAGAACCCATTGAATCATTGAGAGCATTTGACCTTGGCGGAATAAATACCATACATCTTAAAGTTTAATGGAGGATAGTAAAGTTCAGTGGTGACAAAACAGCTAATTGTTTCTACTTCCAAGTTTCGTGCTACAGACTGTGACAGATATATGAGCAAGAGGGTCAAAGTTCACGGCAAGTAGTGTGTCCCAGTTGTGTGCATGCTCCATCCAACAGTATGTACTTTGTCAGGGCAGCTGCAGTAAAAAGTATGTGATTCTGAGCAAAGGCTTAATGTCTCTGCTGTGTCTTTTTCTGTCTGTACAGAAGCACCAACTGTCACAACCTCGACCTTCCTCTTCCCTGAGTCTGAGCTGGTCACTGAACCTGAGGAGGAGGAAGAGAAGAAGGAGGAAGACACAAAGGAGGCTGAAGAAGAAGAGGAGGAGGAGAGGAGTGCAGATTGTCCCTCCCTAGCAGACAGTAAGCTTTCAGTTTTGTGATACCTGTAACAATACTAGTCACATGAACTAATTCACGGACATAATGTTTCCTTTCATTCCTGACGCTGTGTTTCTCTGCTCAGCTCTGGCAGAGACGGACCTGGAGGAGATGGCTATGCACGAGACCGAAGACAACAAAGTGTTCCAGCGGTTTAAAAAGAGGATCGCACCAGAGCCTCACCAGGTTGACAAAACTCCATGTCCTCCACTGTGTTAAAAAGACCTTCATGGTCTTCTCTGAGTCCATCTCACGGTGTTTTGTTTTGTTCAGGTGGTGCGTTACAGTCGAGGCGGCTCCCCCTTGTGGGTCTCCTCTCAGCACATCCCTTCAGATGAGGATATCCCACCATGCACCTGTGGCGCCAAGAGGATTTTTGAGTTTCAGGTAGTCCTTTCTAATCTCCTTCCATCCTTTTTCCCCCAGCTATCACCTTCCTGCTCAACACACTATTGAATGCCAATGGTTTTGAATAGATTTTAAGATTTAGCTGATTACTGTTAAGGCCTCTCTCTCCGCTACACTTCTGACACTTGTCACTTTGGGTTGGTGGTTCGGTACAGCTACCAACCCAAAGTATCAGTATTTGATGACCTGGCAATGAGACTCAACAACCAACTATCTTTCTCCACAGTTACGTACAGCACCTTTAAGTGTATTTTATTATTTTAAGTGACTAATTTGACCAAGACCTGTTCTTTAAGTTGTGGAAATGATCATAAATGTCCGACATGTCCTTATTTAGTCAAAGTTCACATGTAAATGCAGTTACTCTGCCTCAGGGGAATATTGTACATTTTGTATTTCAAGCTGTGACCAGAGGGTTCTTTCCACACAAAAACATCTCAGTGTGTGTGTGTGTGACAGTTTGTATCAGTGTCTCTCCACAGTGTTGAGCAGTGTGTATATCATATACATATAATGAGGGCTGGCCAATATACCGATTTTGATATTATGATACTGTGGTCATACTTTTTGGATATTGTAATTTCCTAAGTGTTGAACAGACTGTATTAGCTGTTCTATTACTTGCCTTTACCCCCTTAGTCATTACATCCACGTTACTAATGATTATTTATCAAAAACCTCATTGTGATATATTTTGTATAAACACCAATAGTCAACCCTGCAATATCAATGCAGTATCTATATCAATATTTGGTCGAGAATATTGTGATATTTGATTTTCTCCATATTGCCCAGCCCTATGTTCAATAATTGCATGTGTGTGTGTGTGTCCTTAGGTGATGCCGCAGCTGTTAAACAGCCTGTGTGTGGACTCGACAGGAGCCAGTATCGACTGGGGGACACTGGCGGTCTACACGTGCTCTGCCAGTTGTAACCATGACGACGAGTACCGCCTCGAGTTCATTTGGAAACAGGACTTCAGCTCAGATCAACACGCACAGATGAAACCTACATAACATCTGACACACTGACGCCTGTGAAAGCTCAGACTGGTGTTTTACTCTGTCTGATGTCACTGCCCACTTGGTGGACTGAACACGTGCTGCTGCTCTTGTAACTGATTAAACACAGATAAAATTAAAAACCTGTGTGAAGTCCAGTTGACAGAGGGGTCATACTCCTCCCATCAAAACCATCAAGGACAATGAAGATGTTTTTTAAGGGTCAAGATTAATTGTTCTGTTATTTCAGACAATCAAACAGGAATTCTGGTTTCTTGCCACCTCCAAACCTTTTCTATTATACTTTTAGATTCTGGCTGTCAAGAGCAATTAATCTCTGTTATTTTTAACTTACAGAAAAGTAACAAATTAAAGGAAAAACCAACATGAAGTGTCTTCATGTGGAGTCAGGCCACCACAAGCCTCCAGAAAAGTCTGTGGAACTGTGTTTGAGAGATGAACACCATCCCTCCTCAGATATTCCCTCCAGGGTTCCCATGGTCATAGAAAACCTGGAAAAGTAATGGAATTTCACAGTCACATTTTCCAGGCCTCGAAACGTCATGGAATTAGTAAAAATCGTTGAAAGTCTTGTAATTTTGTAGTGTGTAATGAAGATGTTACAGTAATCTTCTGTGGATAAGTATATGGTCACTAATATATGGTGATGTGTGATGTTTTGTTTACCATTATCATTTATTTAATCCAAAATTCCCCGTAGGTGTTCAGCTGGGTTGAGAGCTGGTGACTGAAAGCCATAGCATTTTGTTCATGTTGTCTTTATACTGAGTAATCCACTTCATGAGCCCTGGTGCACAAAAGCTTTACATTGGATGAGTTTCTCTGCTCTTTTAAAGGTTTTTCCTTTAATTTGTCCCTAATCTGTGTGTGCTCAGTGGGTTGTGCCCATGTTTAGAACTACATACTGTAAATAGTCAGTAAAAAAAATACAGTATGACCCTGTGCCTTATCATCACACAATAAAGATTTTTAACAAAGTTATCTGAACAAACATTCATCTGATTTTCTGCTTTTTTCAGTGGTTCAAAGACAGATAATATTTAAAATACTAGCAAAATACTACCTGCCATTTATATCTCCCATTGAGATTATTGCAATGTTATCTTAAATGGCTGGTATGAGTTAATTTCAGAGTTACAAACATCACAAAAGTCAGATCTGTGCTACATGAAGAAAGTCACTTATTTAGCAAAAAGTAGTGTGAAAAGAGACTATGTAACCATTAAACGGAACAAAACAAGGGACAATTACAAGATAATGAGAAATTATAAAACAAGAAAAGCAAAGCACAAGCAGGGCTTGACAACAGCATCTGTTAAATGCGGGGAGAATTTGGCAGTGGCGTGTAACAATCCCTTACTAGCCACCTTGGTGGGTTGCATATATATATTTATAGAGAGGACACTAATCAAACTGATTAGACAAAATGAACTTGTTCTCTGCTGCATAGATTTTTTTCTGTTTTATTATTTACTGTAGTTGTCAATGTAAACTTGTGCTTTTTAGTTAAGTTTTATCTTGTCATTTAATCTTCCACACCTTTGCACCTCTTATGCAATAAAAACCTACTCTTTATGTCTTTGTCTGAGTCAACTACATGTTTTCAACCTTACCAGAGCTGAATATCTGACAAGTGTTACACGAAATCTGTCATTTACATTTCAAGGGGTTGTAAATCCAGTTCTTTAGGTAAATTGTAGCACACCAGAGTCAGCTTTCATTAAACAAAACATTACTTCCCAGCAACAAAATTATGGCTAGTGAAAATGGAGAGTGATGAGTGACTCCTGGAAAACTACAATCCACAGTGTCTGGTGAGGAAAAAAGGTTAAGAGACAGCTTACCCCCCTATTTGTGCAATAACCCCATTTCACCTTGACTGTATATATTCTGTGTATTATCTATTTAGGTTATAAATATTTGTAAATACCCTTGTTAAATTTCTTATATTTAAACTTATCTTTCCACTCTTGCAAGGAGCACTTGTAACACAAATAATTTCCCCTCGGGGATCAATAAAGTATTTCTGATTCTGATTCTGAAGTCTAGTTTGTTTTGGTGTGAGTCGCAGAGTGTTGGAAATATCAGTAGTAGAGATGTCTGCCTTCTCTCCAACATGATGGAACTAGATGGCACTCGGCTTGTGGTAAAAATAAAAAACATTTAAAAAACTTAACAGTAATGTCTCTTTCCATAAATCATAACCCAGTTACTCAAGAATCTTGAGTAAGTATGATTATCTTAAAGACAATCCGCAGTTCATGTTGTGAGTGGTTTCATGTAGGGACTATTTTCTTTATACCAAACTACACCCTCAAACTGAATCACTGCGCAGAAGGAAGTGTGCATAGACTCATGGACGAGGCTCATGCTCGTGACAGCATGAGATGTAAGCATTAATTAACTCAGTTGAGCTGTGACGTTAGCTAGCTCAGTAGTGCTAGGTAAGCTAGCAGTAGATGCACACTTCCTTCTGCGCAATGATACAGTAAGCAGGTGTAGTTTGGTAGAAAGAAAATAGTCCCTACATGAAACTGCTCACAACAAGGTCTGTGGATTATGTTGAGTAACTGAGTTATGATTTCTGGAAAGAGACATTGCTGTTCAACAGAACTTTTTTGGTGCTTTGAGCAACACAAGCTGAGTGCCATCTAGTTCCATTATATTTGAGAGAAGGCGGACACTTAGCAACTCACACAAAAACAATCTAGGTTGATAGACAGCACTACAGGTAAGAGGAAAAGTATGTATTTTCCATTTCTCCATCACAAGTACAGAGTTATTAAGTCAGATCTCTCTAAGGTTAACATCAGCTGTCAAGAGATACTGGTCAGACTAAACCAGTGAGGCTTTAGCAGCAAAACTACACAGTGTATTAAAATTGAATGGAAGGCTATTTGAAAGTAAAACTCTGATCATACCTGTTAGAATATGCAGTGTGACCAAGATGACAGTATTTCTTGGCTTTTTAAAGAGATGTTTAACCCTTCTGTTATTTCAGCAAACATAAACAGAGCACACACACTTCTTAGGGTCAAACATGGTGAAAGAAGCAGCTTTAACAAGAGGGTCAGTATGTACACATTTATTAATGCACAGTGCAGCACATTAACAATTTCAGAAGAAGCAGAATTGCATCAAGATGTGACAGAACTTCCTGGTCACCGGCTCTGCCCTCTGTTCAGAATCACAGAGGGCAGTATGTAGTTTAGTATCAATACCTAATCTCTTCTGCCACTCAAACAGGTGTCAGGTGGCAGACTTACAGAGGGTCACCAGAACTAGCTCACCAACAAGTACCCAAAATTTAAACCAATTTTTGGCCAAGTGTGTGGCTGAGCACATATTATGGATATTTTTTCATATTTTCCTACAACCAAAAAAAATTCTTTTGTAGAAAACTTTTAAATATAACTTTGAATGGCCAAAAAATTTAAAACAATACATAAACATGGGATCACAATGCATTGGTTATATGCCATAATTTTTTAGTGCTCGTGATTTTAAGATGCAAGATGTCAATTTAAGAGAAGCAAAACAAGAGGCCGCTTAAGACAAACAGCTTCTTTTTTGTTAATGTCTTGGAACAAATGTGTCCCAAACCAACTGACATAAGTCTCAAAGTACTAACCATTAACTCAACGACAACTTTCGCAGCAGGACTTGGTTCAATTTAAAATTTAAGAGCATCTACATTAAGTTGCTGCTTAACAGATTGAACTATGCTTTTCATCTCAAAATCTAGATGAAAACTCACCTCCAGCATTTACGAAATTACGACTACACTGAGCCGAGATGTAACAGATTGAATGCCAAACGTACAAAGATGAAACTCTGACACAGCAGGCCGATTTCTTTTGGGATAAACAGTCGCTCTAACTAAAATCTTAGCAAATACTGTTCATAGGAATGTGGTTCTGACAGACCCGAACATGTCTTGATACAATTTGGGGACTGAGCGGACAATTTATAAAAATGCAACGTACAAAACGCATTTAAAATGGCTTAAAATAAAAACAAAAAGCAGTCACAGTCAGACTGCTTCTCTTCTAATCAGCACTTTTTACATTTTTTTACAGTCTTATGTACAGTCAGGGATGTGATGTGGACAACAGAAAAAGCCGAAAAATAACCGAGCAAAAAACTCAGACGGGGTTTGAAATAAATGGAGGTCTGTGTGTGTATGCCATCAACTGTGCTCAGAACCACAGCAAAAAATCAAAACAGTTAAATCCTGCTTTTCTAAAACACTGGAGGAACATTAAAAAAAGAAGAGGAAGAAGAAGAATCACATCCCTGTACAACAGCCCTTACAGCAGTCCACTTGTAGAAGTCAACATATAGATGACGCTTTCTTTGAGTGAAAAAAAAAAAATCTGAGTCTTAAGAGTCGAGGTAAAAGATAAAAAGACTGGGAGATAAAAGGTAAAAGAAAGAGTGGCAGGTTCTACGTTGTCTTGCGGAAACCTTTCAGAATGGGATAGATGTTTTCAAATGCTTCATAGATCTCTGCTCTCACCTTGGCGCCTTAAAAAAAGAAGAAGAAAATAAACATATTATTAATTACAATGACCTACTATGGCAATCCCATTACAACAATGACAGAGGCAATCATGTTCCATCTCAATGCCTTTTTGTCTGTATGTTGTATGTTATCTTTGTACATTCAACCTCTTCTTTTGATGTGTGCACAAAACCTGATCTCACAATTGTCAACTAGTTAAACCGGTTTCTATCCTACGCCCACTCTAACCAATTACTGTGGGGGATTCAATTTTCCCTAACCAGTCACTGCAGACCGTAGAGAATGTATCTGTCTGACTCTAATGTTGTCTGAAGTAAACACTGATGCGTAGCCATGACAAAATGTTTGTTTTGCCAGAGTTGTAAGAGTGGAGTGGAGCCAAGACAACGAACTATGATGTTGGGCAACATTGAGGAAATATTTTTATTTAGAACAGCCTCGATAACAGCTTCTATCTTGTCTATAGCAGTCGACATTGTTGATATGACTCACCAGTTTCCGTTGCTTTTCTTGACAACGCTTGAAAACAGCTTGACAACGGTGATAAGACCTTTGCACACCACGTTCGTATTTTGTAAACATAAACCTTTTAACTTCAAGCTTCTCTCTGACAACGACTTCACCTCTTTCTCCACTAGGCAAACAGACTTACTTATATAGGAAAATGGGGCAGAGGTAGAATGCTGATTGCAAATAGCACACGCTTGTTAATTTTAAATGACTTAACTCAGTAACATACACATGGTGGTAAGAATAAACTTATTTTGTGCACAAAGTAAGAACATTTCATCAACTAAAGAGGAAATGCAGATATAAGGCTACTATATCTGTCAATAAAAACTAAAAACGATTAGTTTTTTTGTGTCTTACCTGTGAGTACAACTTTCCCCGAAACAAAGATGAGCAGAACGATTCTGGGTTTGATCATTCTGTAAATCAGTCCTGGAAACAGCTCTGGTTCATAGCTGAAAGAGACAAGTCACCTTATTTTAATGAAAACAGATATTAGCTCTTTAATTTCTGAAAAAATCTTCTCTTTGCACACCATCTGAAACCCATATTCTACATGTTACTTAAATTCCAAGCAATTCCATATATATCCTTTCAGAGAATAACCGGTTTGTATGGGAGCATTTTGTGAAAAAGAAACCCCATCTAGCCTTCCGTTCTTTGGCACAACCCTGTGGCTACAACACACTCACCACACCCTTGTGCTTTAAAAAAAGCTGAAATGGGTGAACATGGCTTTTAGCTGCACAAGACATAAAACAAACAGAAATTACCTGCTGAATTGCTGATGTGTGAGGACTAATCCTTCTAGCCGAATGGGGAACTTCACATCGCAGCTTCCCACCATGTTCTGAATCTTGAAGTCCAGGAACTTAGCAGGGAAACCGAGCTTCTGCACCACACGAGCATATTTTCTTGCAGCTAACCTCGACTGCTCCTCACTAAACAGGTGAGACGGTGCAGGGCAGATTGGAAAAAAAGAACAATAATTGACACATTAACAAGATGAGGAGAGGAGATACAAGGCTCAGGTCCTTCTCACACACATTAATTTGTTTTATTTATTTAGGATATTTTAATTTTTGTCACACATACCACTTCTGATGTCTTAATATTCTTAAAAATTAAACATTAATAGCTCTTTGAAAGTTGTTCTTGCATTAATATGCTATTATATTATTATATCAGTGGCTTTATCGTCTTAAGATGACAAAAATATCATTCATCCCAATTAATTCTGGGACGACGTGTCATCCACCAAAAGTAGTTATTGTGAAAGGCCTACAAGAACCCCTACTAGACCAAGCACTACTCTTAATATCTGTGTTTTTTATTAAAAACTTCTGCCCATAAAAGGAAATAGTGCATATTCTGACCTCTTGGCTCCGGTGCAGACCATCTTCCCTGAGCTGAAGATGAGAGCAGTGGTCCTGGGTTCTCGTATTCTCATGATGACCGCAGCAAAACGCTACAAGGAATGAAGACAGAGAGGAAATATTATTACAGCCAGCAGTGCTTGCTCATAAACGGAGTTGTGTGG